GATTCGAACCCAAGACCTGTAGATTACAAGTCAAGTGTTCAAACCACTGAGCCACCGACGCTCTATCGACCGCTGCCCATAGATATCCGCAATTGCTGATGCGTTGCCTACCCTTATCTGACGAAGGAGGAGGCGCACATAAAGCGGATACTTCCTCTTCCCATCCTCTCCTTATAAGAAAAGGGTGGTAAAGGGAAAGGAACTTAAATTAGGCGTCCGGCACCACATTCGTCATACGAAACACGGAATTGCTTCCATTTCACGCCTGTCTTCTGTGTGGTCGTGGTATTACACCGGGCGTACCGGCCCATTCGTGCTAAGATGTTAAAGCGGGCACTACCACTTTTCTTCCAGACTATGCACTATTTTTGTGGTAATTTGGTCGGGATTCGTTAAGCTGTTTTAAAGATACTAGATATATTTACGAATTAAAATCATCTTTCACATCCATCTATAATGTATGACATTGTTGAAGAAACAAAAACAATCCTTGCTATTTCGGTATAATCCATTTAACAAACAACATAAATGAATATTTGTTCAGTTAGAATACATTTTCTGTAAATATTTGCTTTGTCTTTTTGGGTCGCTAATCTTGATTCCTTAATCCTTTGGGCTCGTGAAGTACGAAGTAAGCCAGTTTATTTTTATAAAACAAACTGACAATAAACACAGCTTTATATTTACATTTCGTCACGTTATCATTTTAACACATTTAATCATTACCATGGTTTGTTACTTGCGAAACAAACCTTACTAAATGCGAAAGTTTAGATGGTTGTTTGTAGCCTAAACATCTGAACGGATCTCGATGAAATTTGACAAAAATATAGAGCATAGTTTGGAAGGACACATAGGCTACTTACTTTTGTTTTGTTTAATTCCACGCGGACGACGTCGCGGTCGATAGTTAGTAGTATATATTGCTTTACAGAGCGTTGATGGCTCAATTAATAATCACATGATCGGATTGGACTATAATATAAGTCTATTTTCGATCTTCACTTCTTCCAATGTGTTTTTTCGATTTACGAATTTCATAAGTACCACTCGACGTTCTTCCGGCGAAGGAAACATCGTGATGCAATCTACACGTCGGGAAAGAAGTTCAAACATGTGTGAAGTCAACCCGCAGTGAGTCAGCGTGCTCTTACTTAGCACTTCAACTATCCTTTTTGGTCGAATATTTAGAAGCAGATCCAAATCAGAGATGGTTTGTATGTGTGTTCGGCATTTGAAATTCATGGCTAGGTTTATTGACATTTGTTTAATATAATATTAATTTGATTTTTAACCAATAATGATTCTCTCGCTTTAATTGACGACGGGTCATTTTGATTTTTTTTTATAACATAAGGAGGCGAAATTACAAAATTTTGGCCGCTTGCTCGTTAAGTAAAGGAGTAAATTTTGTACTCTCTCTTATAAAATTACTAGCTTTCGCCAGCGACTCCGTCATGATCGGATTAAAAAAAAGATAGTAGCCTATGTGTTCTTCCAGACTATCAACATCTATGCTTAATTTCATCGAGATCCGTTCAGCCGTTTAGGATACAAATTCGTTAGAGTTTGACAGAGCAATAAACATGCATCCATCATCATCATCTCCTTATCCTACTCCCGTAGGGTCGGCGCAACAGGTTTTTGTCCTCCACATAACTCTATCATACGTCATCTCAGTCA